TCATGATAATCATCGCTACTATTACTAACAACATTTCGCTTATTGTTATTTAACGTATTTGTGTTTTTTACCACCAAGACACGTTATGCCTTCTGGATATAAACATGCCCGAGTTGATGATCCTAGGTCTTCGCTTTTCCTTGGTGACTTATCGGCTGGGAGTGAGAGAAGGAAGAGGAAGGGGGAGAGAGAGAAGAGAGAATAAAGAGGTGAAGAAAATGAGCAGAGGGAGAGGGAGGAGAGAGAGAGAGAAAGAGAGAGGAGAGAAAAGAGAGGATAGGGAAAGAGAGGAGAGAAAAGAGAGAGAGAGGAGAGAAAAAAGAGAGGGAGGAGAGAAAAGAGAGGGAGAGGAGAGAAAAGAGAGGGAGAGGAGAGAAAAGAGAGAAGAAAGAAAAGAGAGAGAGAGAGAGAGAGAGAGAGAGAGAGAGAGAGAGAGAGAGAGAGAGAGAGAGAGAGAGAGAGAGAGAGAGAAACCCTCGTTCTTTCACTGCCACTCACTGGTGATTCATCTCAATCTTATCAAAGTACTTATCTTAGAACGGTAGCACATCCTCCTATATTTCAAGGGATGCTTAACTCTGATTCCTCTTCCCTTCCCTGCTCTTGTATTTGGTTGCATATTTTCCAATGATCTTCCATACACTTCTTATGAGGCCATCTATCCTCTCCAGTTTTGTAATGAGAACAGCACGAGTTCTTTGTGGTGTTCCCGGTTATTAAGCTAATTTAGGGTGAAATCTCCTTTAGCCTGTCCGGGTTATATTATATATGCTGTATAATATAAAGGTTATAATAGACACGGGTATTTAAATCCTATGAGTCATTATTTTCTATGGCAGGATGAAACGGCCTGGATATTTTGTTATAAAAGTCCTTAACGTATGTTAAGGGCTTTTATAACTGCTTGTTTATAATGACTGAAGTTTGTGGGATAGCTAATGAATAGACCTAATCTTTAACATTTATTAGTTTCATCAATGAGTAATGTTTAGTGATTGACTATGTCGAAAGCTTTCCCGAAACCTAATCTCAGGGTACCAACTTCAATATTATCAGATACGTCCTAAAATACGTTTTCACAGTCTTTCAGAATTTCGTACGTGCAAGTTTTATCCCTCTGGATTGTTACCACCTTTTAAATGTAAGTGTTAATCGGTCTGTGTATGTGTTTGTCTGGCCTTTTTTTATAAGGGGAAGGTAATTTTCTCCTTTATTGTATTAGGGATAAATTTCATGTTTAAAGATTTCCCCCCATAATGTTGTTGAAAAAGTTGAAAAAGCCCAACTATGGAATTTTAAGCGCAGGCCTATTACATCATTAAATATCCTTTTGTAGCGAATGAGATACATTATGTTTTAGGTTTTATCACTGATAGTTTTAAGTCAGAGTCGGTTATCAGTGTGTTAGGTACAGCAGATAGTTTAATTTGCATTCAACTCTCTTTGTGTCGGTTGATAAAACACCCTCGCTTTCAATTTTCATAAGTCTCTTCATTTTGGTGTTAGCATAAGAGAAATATTTTGTTCTTAATAGCTTTCCCTTTTTATATATCTTTGGATTCCTGTATCTGTAACTTATATATTTTTTCACTATTTTTGATTATTAATATCATCATCATTATTATTATTATTACTATTATTTTGTTCTCGCCAATTGTCATATTTAATACATTCACTCAAGTTTCAATGTATCATTAAGGAATCACAGTTCTTTAATCTTTGGTAATGCTTTGAGTAATGATTTACCGTTTTCCTATTTGATTTGCTCGTAGATGGAATTCAAAGATTTATGACAATTCGCTACTTTTGCATCAGTCACACCTCTTTTCACTTCTTTTGGAAGATGGAGTTTGTTCCCCTTTAGTGTAAATGTAGGCTTATCTGTCACTAGCGATATTTCGATTTTCCCCATCTTCTCCCCCTCCCCCTCCGTTTTCGTGTAGTTTTTTTACTCTTTTGTTTTAGTGTCTTTAGGTCCTGGACTTTCCATTTCTCTAAAGGGGGTGGAGGACGATTTTTAGCTACGCCAATGCCTATTAATTTTAGATATCCAAATTCATCATGTTTTCCTTTCTTGCGTTATGGCATAGCTGCCAGGGCGTTTTGCTTTGCAGTTTCCTCTTGCCTGCGGTTCACAAGTCGTCTTTCCAGCTTTAATTTCATTTGGAACATTTTCTGCATTCTTAGTTTCACCTTATCAGTATTTTACTCGGGGAGCCTCTCCACAGAAATTTAGCTTGGAGGATTTTGATTTGATTATGCGTTCTTTCAAAAGGTATTTTTCAAAAGATGTTTTCTTTCACGAACGCGCACGCGCACACGCACATGCACAAGCTCAGACGCACACGCACAAGCTCACACGCACACGCACACGCACACGCACACGCACACGCACACGCACACGCACACGCACACGCACACACACACACACACACACACACACACACACACACACACACACACACACACACACACACACACATACACACACATATATACACATATATGTAACACATTTATGTATATATATATATATATATATATATATATATATATATATATATACATATATGTAACACATTTATGTATGTATATATATATATATATATATATATATATATATATATATATAAACATATATGTAACACATTTATGTATGTATATATATATATATATATATATATATATATATATATATATATATATATATACATATACATATATGTAACACATTTATGTATGTATGTATATATATATATATATATATATATATATATATATATATATATATATATATATATATACATGTCTGTATAAAAAACCTATAAGACCTTACGCTTTCCATCAACTCTTTTCGTAAATATTTCATCATATTGTGTATGTTCTTTGTCTCACAGAACCCGTAAATTCTCACCCAATGTTACAAGTTCCTTCTCTGTTGGTTGGGTGACGTTTTTCACCCGCGTACATGCAATTGGTACTGGGTTATTCGACTCTCGACATAGGAAATCAAAGACGTTGAATATTGTTTAGTCAACTTCATCTCATTTTGTCAAGAAAAGATGGAACGTATTCTGGATATTGCTTGGACTGACGGTACTTCAACTTTAGAATCTCAGGTACAAATTGAGATATATATCGTCATTACTCATGTTTGCATATTTCCAAACTGCGTTTTGCAATGTCTATATGCTTCATCGATTCAGGATAATTGGACTGACATATATTTGCTAAGCAATGACAAAAAAAAAAGGGAAGCCAGATTGGAATATCCATTCCTCCCTGATCTACTATTCTTAAGTGCACGATTACAGCTGTGCCCTTGGTGGTGTAACAACCATATGAGGAGGCGAAGCTGTTAAATAGATTGAATAGGACTTGAAGTTTCAGTGTTTTCTGACAGCCAAATGGGCCTTAGATATTACCAACACAACTAGTAAAACTAATAACACAACCCATACGAAGCCATTAATTGCCTGTATAGCTGACAGACTATCCAAATGAGTAATTACGCAATTGGCTGTGAATTGGCCTGACTAAAAGATGCATTGACTCAATGATTAGCCTGCGCCTCAACAAAGAGACATAATACAGGCATAAGAGTGAAGAAAAGAAAGGGTATTGAATGAAATGTTGCTTCGACAAGAATCAAATACTGGTACAAAATGATATTTAAAATAATAATGATAATTAATAATATTAATCAACAGTCATGCATTGTACTCAGAGGTTTTTATTAAATGTTATTTCGACAAGAACCAAGATACAGCTACACAATAAAAAATAATACTAAAATAAAATAATAAACTAATCATCCATTGCATTCAGATTCTTTGATAAAAGGAGAATAAGAAGAACACCGCTTAGTGATGCCTTGGAAAACCTTCAAACGTACTGTACATTAAACAAATCCTTCTCATCCATGCAATTATCCTCATTACTTTCTTTGATAATATTAGCAGGAAACAGACGAGCCTCTTCGTGATGTCTGGATCACATGGAGCAAATAAGCCGTGAGTTGAATTTATGAATGGATTAATCTTAAGGTCTTTTGGTTATTAGTTGTAGCTAGTGGGGACGGGGACTTAAAGGTGGACTTGGAAAATACAGTTAATAGTACTCTTAATATCACCTAAATTAAAAATGCTGTGTTATGTGTGAAGGAAATGACTTTAACATATAACTTTGCATGTTAACTGTAATGTGTAAGCTATAGTACAATATCCTGTTTTTATCTTTATAAAAGGTATAATGGAGACAACTACTATGACTTATTTTTTTTATTATTTTTTTTTTATTATTCACACAGGCAGAAGAGGAAAAAGGATGAATCTGAGGATGGGTACAGAGAGGACTGGCAGAGGAACCACAGACATTCTCCCAATAAAAGAAAGTGCTTTTCGCCTTCAGTCAGTTCCGAAAAATGTTTTGCCGTTCATCCCCGTAATAAGTACAATACGTCTGCTCCAGCTCTGAGGAAACCGATGTTTGTTGGAGATTTCTGCCTGGATGAGAATCGAATGTTTTGCCACGATAAAAGAAACCTTCATTTTATCAATGTTGATTGGCAAGAGTCTAAGAAGGTAAGATTTTAGGTTCCTTATCCAACTATCTCTGCAAATCATTTCGTTTTGATAATGCTTTATTCTTGTATAATGTGTTGAACAAATTTCTATAGCAACAGAAATTCCACATTACCATAAAGTCTGTGATTTTGCCAACAGGTTGATTTCGACCTTAATATTGCGATGGATAAAATGATCAAAAAGAACTTTCAAGAAACACGAAAAGAAAAACTTGACCGCCTCCTGCAATGGATTCTCCAGGATAAATACAAGTTCCACACGAGAGATTCGGAAGGCAAACCATTACAGTGGTAAGGTTTAGGAATATTTAACAACGAATGTCATCATTGTTTGTAAGTGTCAATTTTTACAAGAAAAATATTAGGGACGACTAGGACTATGTTTATTTTTAAGCAATAATTTTCTTGGTCAGTAAAATTTATATCATTGGTATAACTATATGTAATGTTATATGTTACAATTCTTTTAAGGAAAGCATTTTTCTGAGTATTTATTTAATAGCATAACATATTGTACTACTATGAGGGAGTAGTGAAATAAAGATATATTAAAGCATATTAAAGCCATTTTTCTAGTGGTAGTAATAAGTAGAATTTTTTGGAAGATTAATTTAAAAATTGACAGACATTTTTGAAACATCTAAAGTTTGTAGTGGAGTACAGTGTTACTAGAGTATAGTGTGATGGTGCACTTACATGGTCGTATTACAAACTGTATCATATTTCATACCTTACAGACTTTTTTATTTTTAATTTACTTCCAAAGAAGTACCTTCTGACAGTACTGCTACAGCCACCAGTGCTAGGCTGTTTTATGTAACTAAGATTTCATTATGATCATTTTTTGTAGATTGTTCAATATATTGTTTGTTATATAGTTTGTCCACAGATTTTGTCTGTTTCCGAGGCCTACTAACAGAGTTACTATGCACACCATATGAGGGCAGAGAGGGATGGATCATTTGTGCAACCAAGTATGTAAACAGTTCTCTCAATGAATCCATTGTAAACCTAAAGTGACATAATTTTTTTAATTGATATAGTTCCTATATACATGTATGTATATGTATGTCCATAATATGTGACTAGGAATGCTGTAATTATGAAATTTATTTTCAGGTACCGTGGGACAATATATCTCTGTGCTTATGAGACACCCGAAAAACTTGCACATCGTGAGAATGAGACAGAGGTACAGAAAAAGATGTGTTCGTGGGGCTACAAATTTGAACATTTCATGACAGAGGGTGTGTTACCCAATTACACTGCAGAAAGTTACTATGTGTCAGTAACTTCTGTGTGTAAATGTTATTTCCTGTTTATGTGTCTCTTTAATTACACTTTGCTTTCTTAGATTGTAAATTGGGCCAATTCAAATATTTTTTTGATTCTACTAACACTGCAAAAACAGAGTCAGTCAGTGAGGGTCTTTTATCAAATTTCTTTAGTAATAACAGTCAGTATCCGTCTCTCATATTTTTGAGAATTTGGCTTCAAAATTTGTCAAAAAAAAAATTAGTGTGCCCCACAAATTGGGAGCAAATGAGTTTCTGGATGCCTAGCCTTTAATCACTTGACCTTCTCAAAAACACCATATTAGATATAATATGATAGTTTAGTTTCTTACTTTAATCCTTTTTTTTTTTTAACCCTAGGTACCAATGTAAATGAAGGAATAAATGAAAATGAGGAGTACTGCTGTGTTGTGCGTTCTCGTTTGGATAACCATTCTCTGGTTTATGGAGCTGAGGTAGATGGTGCTGATCCAGAAAAGTATAAAAACCCACACTCTGACCTTAGTGCTTTTGTGGAACTTAAGACAAGTAAAGAATTAAACACTGACAGAGATTTAAGATCACTCCACAAGTAAGTGGTGAAAAGTTTTTTTATTTAGTGTTTATTAATGTTTTTGGTATATGTATTTATGTTATGCAGGCAAGAATTTATTGATATGTACATGTATACATAGATGTAGGATGAAAACATTCAAAACTGTATGTGCCCTCAGAGTAGATAAAAAATAGCTTTAAAGTAGTGGGTAGTGTTTACTACACACATTCTATAAAGTCTGCAACAATTGATGTATATCATCCATAAGAGGTTCAAATTCTTTTGAATGTTATGTATAACAAAGCAGTGGTATGTTTTTGTTTTGTATTTACATGAATGGAACGGACAATAGACCAGACATTGAAACTCATTTCACTCTTATTTCTTTCAGATTCAAATTAATGAAATGGTGGAGTCAGTCATACCTAGTAGGAATACCGCGAGTTGTGGCAGGGTTCAGAGACATGGACGGACATGTGCACACTCTAAAGACTTACCATGTTACTGAAATGCCACACATAGCTCAGGTATTTGGGAGGTTTCTGTATGTATGTTAATTATTTGCCTTTAATCTTGATTTTCTTTATTTGTAGGGAATCTCTGATTCTCTGAGGATTGTTACTGAAATAGTCTATTGTGAGAACAAGGAGATAGAAAAGAACACCACACTTTGGCAGCCATTGACAATTATGCTCTTAAGAACAGGAAGGCATCTTTATAATGATTTTGTCCATTGCAGTTATGTTTTATATCCCAACTAAACACTATTTGCCTTTGCATTGCAGGATCACTGGCAAGACAATATAATGCTAAACTTCCTCAATCAGTTCTTGAGCTATGTCAAAAAGAATGTTCAGAAGGATGACCCAAGGACTGTCTACAAGTTTGAAAGACAGAAGCAGGGAGGAGACATCTACTGTACTTACCTTGGTCAAGACCCTGCTTGGACATTTCTACCAAAGTGGTACTATGAGAAAATATTCCAGCCAGAGGATAATTCAGAATAGGTTTATTGTAAATTAGGGACGATTTTTATATTTCATGCATTGTATAATAGATAATTCAAAAGGTTTGAAATATATTTT